AAAGAATCTCCATTTTCTGTTTAAATGAAATGAAATAAAATAAAAGATCAGAAAAGAAGCCTTCACCAGGAATGAAAATTAAATACTCAGAAAACTTCTGCCATTAGATTCTTTTGCATTTAAAAATAATAGGCCTGAATTTGGATTACTGTGTCAACTGAGTCAACAACCACACAGTCAACTCCTGAGACCAGAGGAAGCCGCTGGTGGTGACACAGGTGTCACACCTAGGGGACACCTTCTGAACCACAATGGGCTCTGCTAACTCTCCTGAGTTGAACACCCTCAATGTACAAAGGGACTGCACTAAAGTCCCGGCCCCGTTCCGGACATTCGCTTTCTCCAGCTGGCAGCACTGTAACTCCAGAGGCTCCACGTTGTCCCGTGCAGGAATTCAGCTAAGCTCTAGTCTGACCAACCGGCAGGGTCCAGTACGGAGCAAACACACAGCTGGGGGGAAGGAGCATCCCCACGGGAGTTCCTACCTTCTGGAAGTTAACTCCTTGTGCCCAGGAGCAATTCTTGGGGTTCGGAACATCCTCCCAAAACAGCTTCTTCATTCTGAAACATTAGGTAAATTCTGGAGTTGGCATAGTTCTCCTGTGATCTGGATTGCTGTTATTCACCACAGCCATAGAGAAGTGCCTGCACTACACAGCAGTGCTACACCAGAAAAGCAGTGTGTGCAACTGCATTTTCCAGCACGCTATGAAAAGAAAACAACCATTTTGGATAGACTATAGTTGGCTAAAATACAGAAAAAAATAAAAATAGCATACCAGACAGCAGTTTTGCAAACTATGAAAGCCAGAAAGAAGTCTTTGCTGAGCAAAACCCCAATCAACCTTTCATAAAGAGATTTTTTTCAGTTGACTTTTACTTCAGACCTAGAGTCTGTGTCAACAATTAAATCAAGTGCTTTACAATTTTGCTGGCATTTGTTAACTTGGCCACAACACTCTGCAAAATGAGTATATAGCACAGGCTGCAGTGAGAGCAAAGCACATTAATCATCAGCTTTATAGTGGAGACATCACTCTGAAAGCACAACAGTATCAAGCTCATCAAAGTATCGAGCCTGTGCACCCAAGACACCTTAATTCTTGGGATCCCATTACAGAGCCTGTAGCTTTTTAGTACAGTATATCTCAAAAATAAAATGATGAGAATCATTTCTAGCTGTCCTCAAAAAGACTCTGTCCACCAGCTCAACAGACAGACAGCATCTAAGCTGCACGACCTTCTTCTAGGCATTTTTAATGAGCTTTGCTCAGCTACACACAGCCTACCTTTGGTGTGAAACCATCAGTGCTCCAAGCAACAAAGCTGACGTTGAAATAACTATTGGTAGAACCACATAGAGGCTGGCATTATTCTGATTTTCAGAACCATCTGGAAATAAACAAAGTTCAGATAATAATGTAATAATACAATTTATGTTTGCAGTAGTTTGCAATAGAGAAAAATAAACACATACAGAAATACTAGAAAAAGTGTTAACACAAATAGAGTAATTTTTTTTTTTTTGCACATGAAGGATGTGTTACCTTGAAAACAAATGCACAATGTGCCTTTACCTTAGAGTAATTAAATTAGAGCATGCAAGACAAGAGAGCAGTCCACAGCAGAGGGATCCAGGATTTATATTAAATCAAATATTTAAAGTTATATTACAATTACTTGATTACTGTCACTGTTTTCTAATAGGATACAAACTGCTTCCATATTGCAGTTTATCTTTCATTAATAAGCCCCTATTTCATAAATTACAAGGAGAAAGATCCTATAAGTCACCTCTGACAAACTGATCTGTAGTTCTGGATTTGCCAACTCCGCCAGCAAATACAGGGTACAGGCTGAACTGGTACTTCTCAATCAGAATGAAGTGATCTGCGGGGAAGACAGCAGCCTTTTACTGATATGTAGAATTATTTACTCGTGGGATTAGCACCTCTATGAAGCAATTGTAAAAACTGTAATACCAACGGCAAAATGCAAATGCAATGTACATATAAACTTGATAATCAGCTGGTACAATCAATATTTAGTATCTAATTTTATTATATTGTCATAAAATGAACAAGTACACGTTTCATTCTTTGTTGGATTTTGCAATAAAAAAAATACCCTCAGTACATGCTGCTTTGCATCAGGCACAGGATTGGCAAAGTCCTCCTCAGTAGGGGAGGGCAACCTAGAGAGATGTACATTAAAAATAACCTCACAAGATCAATTCAATTACAATCCTGATAAAATAAAAGCAAGTAAGAGGTGGCTCAGGCTCCGAAGCAGTGCACCTCAGAGGTTTGTCCAGAAATGAATGTCATGTGGGGCTGAAGCAAAGAGCACAAGACCAAAAAAGCTGGGAACTGGCTTTTGAGAGCTCCAAAAAATGGTAAGACCATTCAGCAATCCTATCTCAGTCCGGATTATCAATGCAACAGTCAGTTCTCTAATGATAATCAAGGATTGCTCCACTGGATCTTATCCTAAAAGGAACTGGAAACAGAGAGAGGAAAAAAGGGAAACTGAGAATCCAGCAATGCTGCAGTTTCTACCCTGAAACATTTAAAACAAAATGTTATACTTCCAAGTATAGACTCACCATAAATGTAGTACTTGCTGGTATTCGGAGGAACTCGCACCCATTTCATCTCCTCTTCTTTGTTAAGGTTTCTCCACTCGATAACAAAAGACGTCACCGCGTCCGCTCGAGGCAGCAGCGTCCAGGCCAAGACCACGCAGGTGCTGTTCACGGGGTAGGCCCGCAGCGTCCGCACGGCGCCCGCTGGACCGCCAGGACAAGGGACACGTGAGTCTCACCCGCCCGCGCGCCAGCGGCCGCGCGCCAGCAGCTCCTGCCGTTCTCACTCACTCCTTCGGTTTTTATCTTGGGTATAATAAGGCCTGATCCTCAACCCATTTCCCTCTAAGCCAGGCTAGGCTTGTGCCATCTAACCCCAGCACAAAACGGATCAGGTTTCTTACCAGACACAGAACAACTGTGCTGGCTCTGACACGCACCTCTTAAACCATCGCTCCTTGGGCAAGGAATGATCGACAACGAAACCGTCACCGTTCGGCTGCTAAAGAGCCCCTAAGAGCCTGTGAGCTAAATCCTATTAAACCTCTCTGGGTATTACAGACTTCAGGTAGACAAATGCTTCTCATTAGACCTGCTACTAACTGCGGAGTCTCCACAATATCAGAGAATTTTACTCCTTAAAATGCTTTAAAATTAAATTACGAAAGTTCTATGAATAAACTGCAGAGCAGTAATGTTTCCCACAGCACATATTTGCATATGGATGTTACACAATCCATATCTAAGAAACCAATAGTCTTTATTTCACTGGTTTCACTGGTTTTCAGAGTTTAACCAGACCAGTGAAGAGGCTACTTAGGAAGCAAAGCCAAACCTCTGGAGAACTCTGCACTCGGGCAGCCTGTCAAGTGAGCAGCCAGAGAAAAGACCACAGTTAATTTTGGAAACAACCAAACATTCCCTAGCAG